CCGAAAAGGTTAGTTAAGGCTGAGAAGCTGCCCTATAATAGTGGGAGTACTCATCAGAGAGAGGAGGACCAGTCAGTAGACATGTTTGGGAGGTAAGCAGCCATATAGATGATTGGTAAGTAAGGAACAATGGAGAATCTAGGGTTACTGCCTTGCATGGCTACATGGACTCAGGAGGAAGAGCACAAATAGATGGGACCAACATTTGATGCTGTCCAACCCTCAGGAACTATTCAAGACATGAGATAGTTGATTGATGATTTCAGTGTTTGTTTCAATATAAATTATTCAGATTTGAAATCTCACAGATATATTAGGGAAAACTGACTACATAGTAGAGCAATATATCTTAGGTTTACTGAACTTATAAGGCAGTTGTACAGTAGAGACTGATTGTTCAGATAACGATTAGTCTCTAATATACAGGATCCATGGGTAGATTTATGATTAAGATTATTTACATAACGAGAGCAGCGTGTTGTGAGACTCTTCTGTTACTGAAATTATTGTAAAGACATTCCAGAGTTCAGGGTGCTAATTCTACAAGAGAGTTTTGAGAATGACTTTGGAGGAAGTGTGTAGTGAGGGTATCAGAAAACATGAGGAGTAATTGGCACTGGAGGACATGATATGGGCAGCTCCAGAGAAGCATTTGAAGAAAAGGAATCAGCAAATACAAGGTTAAAAAAAAATAGCAGTGAAGACAGAACATAGTCTTAGGGAGAAAGAATTACAGTATCAGTAATGAACCTAGAGAACAGCACAAGGAGTTAACACAGGGAGAAGGGAGGGAAATAATTTCTAGACATTGACAGAGAAGCTTAGCGTTACCAGAAAGGGATCTACAGGGATGAGGTACAATGAAGGGCTGGTGTTGAGGTGCTGATTGAGAATTTGAGGAGGAATGTGTTTTAAAAATTTGAGAATCATTTATGATTTCAATAGTTGTCTTACATTACTGGACAAATTTAAAAATGGAACAAGAATTTATATACCTGGTTATTTCACAGTTTCTCCCTAGCGTCTCTTGTACAATGATAAATGGTTTCTTTATTTTCTCTTTATTTCATGTGGGAATGGTATGTCATGTTGTTTTAGGCGGATTATACTTGTAAAGTGCTCTGGCTTCTTTTGATGTGAAAGAGAATGTATTCCTTCCAGCATAACCCAAATCATTTGTTAAATGTTCATTAAGTGCTCGTGTTAAATGTTCATCCTGGCAAGCAACCAGGGAAAATAAGCTAAAACTCCCTCTCTATTTTGGACTTTGCTTTCACTCTCCATAATTTATCATTTTGTGTTGATGTTTGGGTACTTTATCTTTTGAATTCTGGGCACTTCTTCAGTTTTACAATGTGTAGGAGCAAGTCGTTCAAGTTTTTAGAATTCTTAACACTTGAAATGTGTTAATTTTGTTTTAAAAAACTGTAGTCATTATTATTATAGTGTGGCTTATATTCTTAGAGTGGAAGAAATGTATTTCATTTCCAGAATTAATTTTGAAATGTATACTGATGATTTAAATCTTATCAAATTGCATACTTTCAAATTAAGATATTGTCAATATGCAATGCAATTATATTGATTTTAATTCTGGGAATAAATGAGGTATAATGTATAATATACTTCACAGCTTATTTATATCTTATTTCAAATTCCAAACAATGCCTTATTAGCAAAACAGAATTGTCTTAATTTTTATGGAATTTAGAGTATCTCCTTTTGTGTACCTTAGTAGAACTGTTTGCATAACACACAGCGACAAGAATATTTCGGTAGTTTCACAAATAATATCCTATTTCTATCTATTTCTCTTTCCTCTAGTTTCCTTCTCCCACTACCTCTGAGCAGCTTGCCTGTAAACCACCTGCTTTCTCCTTTGTTTCTCCAACTAATCAGAAAATACCACTCGACCCAGTTAACCTCGAGGGAGCCTCTGTCCTAGAGGAGTTCCACACTAGGAGGCTGGATGTCAGTGGGGCCTTGGTGGAAGAGACAGCTACGTATTTTCAGACCACCGCTCACTCTGCACCCATTGCTTCATCGAAGGGAGCCTCCTCGGTGTTACCATTTCCCCATTCCACTCAACTGTCAGGGTCTGATTTATCCAGTCCAAGTGCAGCAGAGCAAAAACCTGAACTGACATCAGAAGCCTCGAAGAAGACGCCAACTCTCACCTCGCATGTCCTTAGCCCCAGAGAAACTCCGAGAACCTCTTCACCGTCCTCCGGTGCTTCTCTGAAGTCGAATTCGACCTCGTACATACCAGTCCGCATTGTCACGCACTCACTCTCTCCGAGTCCTAAGCCGTTTACCTCCTCTTTCCACGGCTCTTCTTCCACTCTCTGTAGCCACAGGTCATCCAGTGGCAGTCTTTCAAAGTCAGGGGTAAAATCCCCGGTGCCCTCTCGGCTTTCCCTTCTCACCGCTATTCTCAAGTCAAACCCTTCTCACCAAAGACCCTTTTCTCCTGCTTCCTGTCCTACCTTCTCTGTCAACTCCCTGGCCTCTTCCACACTCACACTTGATCAAAAAGTGAAGCAAACCCCACCCATGCCTAAGAAATCGCTTTCAAGTTGCTCTTTGAGAGCAGGGTCTCCAGAACAAGGAGAACACCGGGTTTCTGAGCTGACACAGCAATCCTTTCTCCTGCCTTTCTCGGCTGGTTCTACCCCCCTTTCTCAGGTGCCCACTCTCTCCCCTACAAAACAGGACAGTAGCAGTCTTGTTGCTTTGAATGTAGAGAAAACAGCATCACCCACTTCTTCCAAGAGCAATACAGTACTCTCCCTGCAACAAACTAACACATCCAGTTCTGCAGGTCTTCCTCCTGTCCCTCCAGCCTCTTCTCTTTCTTCTTTAAAGGGCAAACAAGAGGGTGACCTAAGGGGTTCAGAAAAGCCCACCAATATTTACATGCAACCTTTGTCAGCCCCCTCTGTCTTAACTTCTGTATCTCCTCCTATCAGTCAAAGAGACACACTCTCCTCTCCTGAGAAATTCCATCCTTCCCAAACTCTTTCAAACCTGATAAACAGATCCAAAAGAGCATCACCTCAACTAGCTGGCAAGGGGCTGAACCCTTCACCTCCTCCTTCACTCCCCACCTCCAGTGCGAGCTCTGCTTCTCTTCCAAACTTGGGGTCCCATTCTTTCTCTCAAGCTAATCTGTCCACCCAGGCACTGCGGCTCAGTCCCTCAGCACTGCACCCTAATTGTGGGAGTGGTACCCTGCCTTCAAGACTTGGGAAATCTGAAAGCACAATATGCAACCACTGGTCACCTGTTCCAACCCCATCACTTCCCATCCCTCTAACGAGAACCAAGGAGATGATTTCACCTTGTGCATTGTCCATGCCGCCAGGTCCTGAAAATAAGAAACCAAAGGTACTTTTTTTTTGCATGTTGCATGGTGCATGCTTATTTTGAAATATGGAAAAATATTTCTCAAGGGAAAAAAAATCAATGCTTATATTCACCTGGCTCCTACACTGGGGTAGAAAAAGTACTTTAGGGTGGGAGGCTAGGGTTGAGAATATTTGACTGTGAAATGAATTTACATGTCTAAAATTACACATCTCTGTAAAATTCTTTCATTTTACACTCGTTCTTCCAGAAATAACATATGTCTATGACTTTAAAAATATTTTTTAACAGGCATAATGTAAGTCTTTTTGTTGGTCCCAATGACAGAATTAAAAGTTGAGATATGGGCATATGACACATTTCTGATTACTTAATATAGGCATCCTATTATCCATAAAAATATCCTACACTGACAGAATAGTAGACAGGATAGTATAAAATGGGATGGAGCTGGAAGGTGACATGGTGGTTGAGGCATTAGATACCCTTGTAGCCAAGCACAGTTCAAGTCCTGGACCAGGTGGCCCCCAAATCACAACAAATAAATGTTTTAAAAAATAAATAAAATGGGATATTTTCTTGGACCCAGGCTTAAATATGGCCAAGCTACCTCAAAACTTTCTATTTCCTTTACCTACATTTATTTGTTATTAATTATTTTCCTCTTCTTCCAGGTGATTTTTTATTATTCCCCAGACCATAACTGGGGATTTGGATATTTACATGTAGGAAAAAAAGAAACAGAAATTTTCTTTATATAAGAAAATATTTAACTCATTATATATTGGGTCGGCAAGAAAGTTATGGCATATTTTTCTTTGCAAAAGACTTTCCTGATGACCCAGTATATTAATTACTTGGCAATTCAGAAATATACAAAGGAGGACAAGCTGGGTATAAGGAAATAGAAGTAAGAGAAGAGAAATGTGGTCTTTACTTGCATGAAAGCAGCCCATCAAGCAAAGATGTAAAACATAGCATTTATTCTGAGAAGCAAAACTTGTGGAGTGACACTGTCATCTAGTTCCTGGCGAGAGGTAGCTCTGCTGTAGGGTATGCCAACTTCTCAGTTAGTCTCCAATCATTCAGAACATGGTTCTTATATACTTGGAATTCAGTAGTTGTTATGTAAATATAAAATCATGTGAAAGTCCTTGTATTAGGAGTCGATGGGACTTTTCAATTTAATAAGTTGAAATTATACAGCTTTAGAGCTTCGATGTACCATAGAGAGTATGTTTAAGTCTGTCATTTTTCAAATGATGAACATAAGGTTGAATAGAGAAAATGACCCACATGAAATTGTTTATGATGTTGCAACACAATTCAACTCAGTTGCATGCATTAAATACATACTGTGTGCCCAGCACTGTACTAGCTTCCTCTGGCATGCGTATGTGTGTGTGATGTGTGTGTGTGTGTGTGTGTGTGTGTGTGTTTAACAAAAAAGAGATCATTTTGTGTCTTAAAATAATTCAGCAGAGAATGAAGTGAAAATTTAGAGAAGCTAGAATTATGAAATCTATAGTACAACTAGAAAACAAGTATACAGGCAAATTAGCACTAATGCAGATTGTAAATAAGATAACGGTTGACTGAGTTCAGTATAACAGGAACATCGTTATGGGATATGCCTGTTGAGAAAAGTTGTGTTAAGCTTGTCAGAGTGCTTAGGATTTAGCTTAATGAAGAGAGAAGGAATTGGCATTTTAAAGATGGAGAACCACCTGACTAATATACAGAAGGTAATCCTAGAAGACTGTATGTGGTGATAGAAGATTGGTCATGTAAGTGAATAGTAATATTAGTAACTATAATTTAAGATATCAAATGCTTTCTGTGAGTCAGGAACCATGCTACTAGTTATACCAAGTAGTTCAAATGTAAATTAAATGGATTATGCTATTTATTTTAATAACCGTATGAGGTTGGTAATTTTATTATCCTTACTTTGTATACCAAGAAACTAATGTTCACTGTATAATTTGTCCAGGTCACATATTTGGTACAGAGCCAACATTCATATTAATTTAAATCTGCTTATTCTTGAACCTATGTTCTTTATTTCTATGGTTATAGCTATAAGGTAATAAGCTATATTAATTATCAATTTGGTTTGACTTTAGAATTCTCACAGAGGAAATTATTATTATGAAATATGGATGGAATTCTCAGTTTATATAATGAGTCATTTGAAAAATCTGTTTTTAGAGATCATTAAGTCTTAGGACCAGCAGTTAGTGTAAATGGCTATGTTGCTGGACTCCCATGTAGTTGACTGTAGTTCGAGTCTTGGACCCAGTGGCTTAAAACTCACGCCAGGTGCGTGTGCGTGTGGGCCTAAGTTCCCAAGAGGAGAATGGAGGCGAAGGGATTGTGGTGTGGCCATCCCCCCCCGGGGTGATTTCTCGCTTTCTGTCTCTCTGTCTATGACTTACTGGCGAGCACACGCGCCCTATAGCAAAAACCTCTCCAAAAATAAAAGGGATTATTAAGTCTTTGTCTTTTAAATATTCAAAGTAATAGGATGAACAAATTTAGCACTTTTTATTCTAAATTTAAAATTCCAATTTTTTGAGGTAAAGCAAGCTGTTATTATCTTCTCAATATATATGTGTGATTGTAAAATTTATTTTGGTTGTATTAAAAAAATCTAATCATTATCATTTCCTGAATTTATTAACAATTGCTTCCTAAAGGATACCATCATACACCTCAATTATTCATAAGCTTTAGGAAACGTGATTTTACTTCAGAAGCATCTTCAAAGTGTTTCTATTTGTGGTTCACTGTGCTTTATTCATGTGTTGTTTTGGTTTTGATAGAGTCAGAGTTGGAAGAAGGTGAGCCCAGAAAGGCTTTTGATAAATTAAATGCCTGTTTGTTGGAGACCTATTTTCTCTAGCTCTCTTCCTGCTCCCAACATTAAAGAATTTTCAGCATTTGCCACATTTTTGGTTTTATTTTCTTTATTTCTGAGTGAAAAAATATTCAGTCTTATAGAAATTAATAATAAATTTGATGACACAGAAATAGGAAAAATTACCTTAATTTCCCTGCCAGTAAAAATATTAATCTATTCCTTTGAACAGGAAAAAAAATGATCATGGGTAAATTTTATAATAGCTTTTGTAAAAGTAGTTGCTCTGAGATATACTGTTCTTTTTTATGTTTATTTTCTCCTTGGGATCTTTACCTCTCTAGGTAAAAACAAGAAAATTTGCCTACATTTATTTTACCACAAAGTATGATTTTGAAGACTTTCAACTTAAAAAATTAAAAAAAATAAAAATTTACTAAAATTGGTACTGGGATATATACATTTAACTTAAATTTCTTTTGATCTTTAACTAGTTTTATTTAAATTGTCAACATTGCTTTATGAAATGATAGGAGGAAATAGAAATGATGTCGAAGGACATATACGATTTTTTTGTTATTTTTAAAATTTAATTAATTAATTTATTTTCATTTCATTTTCTTCCATACATTCAATCACATTATTATTTGTCTTACAAAATGGATATTTCAACAGGTGAACATTTCTCCCTAGTACTGTTGATAAAACTACGCAATGTCTTCAACAGATACTGCCACACCTCTTTGTGCCAGGATATGTATGATTTTATTGGTTGTTTCTTGTCTTACTCCTCCCAGTGTGGGGTTAATCTGTGCACAGGCTGTTTTTGAAGCTAAAAGAGCTTCAGATTTATTGCTACGTCAACTTCATTCACTCCCCGATCCTGAAAGGATAGAAGCCCAAGAACAGATGGTCATCAAATTAAAACATGAAGGTTTGAAGGATAATGGTTTAAAGTCTGGTTCAACTGCCCTTTGATATTATAATAAAATAGAAGAGCCAGAGAATGCTGAGTTAAGTTCAGATATAAAGCATATGTGATGTTTCTTTTTTAGAGATAGAGTCTTAAGATCCTTAATCTGTTTGTATTAATATGATATCGTTATGTTAATTTTAGATGTAGTTTAGAAATATTTTACCTTATAATCATGGCTCTAGATGGGTGTCTCTGAATGTTGCTCAGGCTACTCTTTAATCAACATCTGTATTGTCCAAAAAAAAAAAAATTCCCCCTCCAGTCTCCAGAAACCATAAATTGCGACCAGAGGGTTGTGTTTGGGTTCCCAATATATTTTGTCTTTATCTATGAAAGAATTAAACTTTTTCTCCTAGTGGATTATCACTAGGAGAAACTAAGTTATGGAAATGGAGGATGCCATTACATTGGAACCTCATCTAGTCTGCTATTCGCTGAAGACGGTTTGAAGGTCTCTTCTGTGAGGCCTGCTCTGACCTTAAAGCTCTTCCCTAAACCTACCTTGTTTAGGGACTCAGCTGGGAGTTTTCTGGCATTTCGTGAACCTTTAGATCTGATTTTTTCTTGATAAAACATTCATTTCCTTCAGCATCAAAACATCTCTAAATACACCACACTGGCAACTGAGAGGCAGCAGTCTGTAAGTGACTTTCTCCATTTCCACAGAACCATACATGATTTAAAGAGCAATTTGGAATGTGTCTCTATGAACTAAAAGAGTTTATCTGAGTCCAGACACTTTTCACTTATTCAATAAGTACACAAGTAATATGTGCTTTTCAAAGGTATGAGGATATTAGAAGAAATAACACATGCAAAAATGCATGCCCCCCCCCCAAAAGTTTATATTCTATGCTGGAAAATAAAAAAGAGATAATAAACCTCCCAAGTAAATAAATTGTTTTGTGTATTAGACTATAAATGGTTTAGAGAAAAATATAGCCAGAGAGGTAAATAGGGAAGCAACAGTGTAAAAATTTAGGGCGGTTAAGATAGGTTTCACTGAGAAGGTGTTACCGGCTGAAACTGCTAACAGTACTGAATCCAGGCTTAGGTGCTCACCACGCAAAAGCCAACACTGGAGAGACAGGTGTTGGTGGGAAAAGGTAGCCTTATTCAGGATACCAGCAACCTGGAAAGATGGGACTAACTTCCAAAGTCCATCTCCCCACTCTTAGTCTAAGGGGGATTTTCAAAGGGGAAGTAAGGCCGGGGGTATGTACTGCCTTGCCCAGCACAGCAGTTCATCATTTCCTTTATTAGTCCATGCAGGAGGCTTGTTGACATCAGGGTTGTTGACAGCTGTGGTGGAGTCACTTGACCTGATAATGAGAGCAGACATTTTATCTTCCTTGAACACATCTGTTTTCTGGTTTGAAGGCTCCCAATTTCTGCAAAATCTTAGCAAAACTATGATTATGTTCTGCATGTTAACTATTAAGCAAGACTTAGTAAGCAAAAGAAAGAAAACAATCTAAAGGCCAATCTACGGTATTTTAATCTATGGTGTTGGATTTAATATGGAGTTAGTTGCTTCGTGCTGTTACGAAGGTAACATCTAAGAGGGTGATGCTCCTTATGGGAGTATAGTGAGGAAAGAGCCCCAAGGCAAGGGAGTTCTTGACAGTCACTATCCAAAGAACAGATTTGGGAACAGTGTAATGAGCGACAGGGCATGGAGATTGTAAGAGGAGATATAACTGAGATCTCGGTCTGGAGTGGTTTTGTAGGCCACTCTTTAGTCTCCAATTTTTACTTTGTAAGACAGGAAGTCCTTGGAGGGGGTCGAATACATCAGTGACGCAATCTTACCTATCTGGCTGCTGTGTTGAAAATAAACTGTAAATGAGGAGAGGGGAAGTGAGGCGATCTTAGAAGGCTATTGCAACAATCAGGGCAAGTGATGCTGGCGGCTGCTGTTAGGGTATAGCAGTGAAGGTGAAGGTAAGATTTCTGTATGTATTTTGTAGGTAGGCAAACACTCGGCAGTTATTAGAACCACTAGGTGAAATGATGAAACAGCTGAAACTAGACTTATCGATATACTTGTTTCCTTTTTCCCCTTTGGTTTCACTCTCTGCCTTTTACTCACCCCCTTCACAAGGTTCTTGCTGCCTTTCTGGGGATTCTCGGCTTCTATTGATACATTAACTAGTCCTGTGTCCCATCTTCTTTGCTTTTCTCCAGCTAGCCTCTCTGAATTGATGTTAGTAATGAGACATACTCAGGTGTCCATAATTGGCAAAAGCTTCCCTTTTACACCCTCCCACAACCCCTGAACTGTTTGCATTTTAATTGTGGAGGAGAGGGCTGTGAAGTTTAACACAAAGAGAATTTTGAAAGCATGAGGAGAGGCACAAGGATCCACAGTCATGAGTTCAAATCTTGCAAGTTCACATCAAGAAGGAACATAACTTCAGAAATTTAATGTGTTAAAAATGCCCTTAGGGGATGTTCGAATGGGCAAAGAAAGTCTTTAATTATCTAGGTTTGTCTAGGACTGCAACAATAGTGAGAAAGTAAAATTTGTGTTTTTTCCTGTCCTCTGAATCGTATTGTTATCTTCGATTAGATATCTCAATTTAAATCAGCAAGTATGTGATGAACATGTGTTGTGCCAGGTTGGTATGAGGTGTTGAAGACAAAGGAGAAATAATATAAAACTCTACTTGAAGAACCTAGCAGGTGAATAGAGATACCAAAATATTATAATGCAATGAAATAAATGTTATATGTTTGGGGTGCTAGAAACACAAAAAGATAAATCTGGGGTGGAGAGAGGACCAGAGAAGTTTTCTCAGTAGTCACCTCTCCCATCTGCTATGCCCAGTACATGGTCTGTAGTTTTGGACAGTTACTTCTGTCCCACACTCCTACCCCTTCCATTTTCAGAATCATAGGTTGTGCTTTGCCAGTAATTCAGAAATAAGGAAGGTGTCTGATTACTCTTTTATATATTGAATCAGGGTTTATGTTGAGCCAGGGCAGAGCAGAGGGAGATTCTGCCTCTGGCACTGCGGACATAGTCACTAAGGAGCAGGAAATGTAGGTTTAGAGTGGTGCTCTCATCTCTGCGCATGGATGCTGCCAGAAGTTGGCCATAATGACAGGAAGCTCTTCACTAATATTCTGTCTTCCTGTGTTCATATATTCTGAAGTTATTTTGTAATGTACCCTCAGAGTTTATCTGCGAGTCCAATCTCTGATTCTCAAGGTAACTGACTGTTGATTTTGAGACTTTTTGTATTCTTAGAACCAGCAGATGGTGTAATGGTTACGTTGCTGGACTCCCGTGTGTTGACTGTGGTTCGAATCCCAGACCTGGTGGCTTAAAACTTATGCCAGGCACATGTGAGTGTGTGTCCAAGATCCCAAGAGGAGAATGGTGGAGAGGGGATTGCAGGATGGCTATCCCCCCTGAGGGGTGAATTCTCTCTTTCTGTCTCTGTCTTTCCAGTGAGTACATGTGCCCTATAGCAAAAATCTCTCTTAAAAAAAAAATAAGGCAATGTCTGTAGGAAAATCACTAGGCAAATTGATAAATATCAACTCCTTATTTCCCATGAAGAGATGGTATTTTCTTAATATTTTCAATTCAAATACATTGTTGTCTAGAAACCAGAGCAGTGCAGGTCAATGTACAAAGTCAGAGCTTAGAGGGGCCTGAGGCCTCCTCAGCAGTCACCCCTCATGTAGAAGAGCTGAGATATGTGCATTGTCACCCAGTTTTCCCTTACGAGGTAGAAGCATGAGTTGGCTAGGATTTGGAGGAGAGAGTAAACTTTTAGACTTAGTTTGTGGCTAAAAAGTATGTAGCTTCTGAGATTGTGTGTATATTTCACTGTGGGTAAGAGTGTGAACTTCGTGCATTTGTGAATGAGCACATGTGAATATATGTATATGTATATCTCTGTGTTAGTGTGTGTAAGTGAGTGTACATGTTTCTGAGTGAATGAGTGTGATTATTTGGCTAAACTGCCTTCTATATCTCCTGCTGCATCCAGGCCTCAGGGTGCTAATTCCTCTTCCTTATGTAGCACGTTAGACAAAAAGAAAAGCAAGCATTGGAAGGGAGAATGTGTTCTTCTAGCTGAACTGACTTTCTTTAGGTCTGGCACTTTGATTTCTCTACTTCAACTTCTTCCTAAAGAAAATGAAATATGTCAGTCTCTTACAGACTTGATGTAGATTTTCCCATCTAAGTTTAATGAAGATTACCACAATTACACCTGCAAAACTCAAGCTTTTATATGATTTGACTACCTTTCTTTTGCAGACCCTTTAGCCTGTTTTTCAAGGGACATAGACAGCCTATTGCTCTGAGTCAGTTTCTCCTCTGGTTCTGGGTCTCTGGGGAAACTGCCTTCTATAAGAACATTTGAAGTAATAAGAACCTTAAACTTTGTTAAGCAGTTTGGGACCTAGGGCAATACCCAAATTGGGCTTTTGATTACACATTTTATTCTGATTTCTACAACTTCCTTATGTTCATTCCTTTCCCCCAATTACTCCACAAAATGAAAGTGTTTTACTCGGAGTGTTAGTTAAAACTCAGGAAATTTTATCATTTGCTTCCTTAACATCAGTATTTTAGAAAGTGAAAGGATGCTGAAGTTTTTAAAAATGAATTCAGGATCAAGAGCTTGTATTTATCATTCTTCCATTAAGAAGTTAAATTGCTGGTGTTACTTATATTCAAATTGCTGACTACACTGATGCTTGTTTAAAAAACTTGCCTAAATTTTATATATCCTAGTTTTTGTTTTTATGAATGATGTAAGAGAATGTATCTAGAGCTTAATTAAATTTATTGGCATAATATTTGCTAATTATGGCATTCTAAAAAACTCATTTCCTTGAGGATCAGGCAAAAAAAGCCTGCTCATTTGTAGACTGGTACTCCTATGAGTACTAATGCTAATTAGAAATTTATATATAACTTTGTGAAAACGGATGTTTTTAAGTTCTAAGACTGTGTAGCATGTAATTGCCTATAATCTCTAAACTGATATTTCACTATGGAATTTCTTTGCTATTCATTCTAATAAAATATTAACATAGTGAGCTAATTTTTTTTCTGTCAGAAACAAGTTGTTTAAGCACAGTAAATCTTTATTTGATAACATGTTATTTAACTTGACAGGACTGTCTAAAATGATGTTTTGTTTTTCCCCTGTTCATCTCCACTCTTACTTTCTGGTTCCCTATTCTAGCAATACAAGATCAACTCAAACTACAAGGCTTTCGCAGCAATTCCTACAAATGTATTGCTTTTGGAACAGAAGGTCAGTGCTGGCTCAAAAGCAGAGTGAATTTGATGTTTCGAATGCCATTTTTGTAATGTTGTCTAAAATTCCTGATGGGGAGATTTTTGTTTTACAATTCTGTCTTTACTAAAATAAAATGCTACTTTTAATTTAGGACATTTTGATGAAAACATCTTGGTGAATATAATTGGAGACATCATTGATTTATCACTAGAGGCTGGATGTGAGCCTAGAGATGTCTTGTCTACTGTCAAGCTGTGTTGGGAGGCTTGATTCAGATTTGGATAGATCCCTATCCATTGGAATTTTGAATAGTTGTTGTATTTCTACAGTTGTTCTTTTATTTTGTTTTGCCAGAGGATAGTGAAGGAGACAGTTAGAAAGAGAGAGAGAGGGGAAAGTGAAAAAGCAACCCCTATGGGGCATGGTCGTGCCACAATCACTTCTCCATTTTTCCTTCCTTTCAGAAATTCAGGCACACTTGCACATGTACCTGGCATGCTTTTCAAGCCACTGGTTCGAGACTTGAATTTCATGGTCAGTCATATGTGGTCCAGCTGCCTGAACCACCAGGTCATGGACTGGTCCACTACCACTATTTTTAGTCTATCCAAAGAGTCCAGGTAGGGGCCAGCAGATGGCCTAATAGTTAACGTTTACATCACTGGATTCCCATGTAGTCTACTGTGGTTTGAGTCTTGAACCCAGTGGTTTAAAACTCATGCTGGGTGTGTGTGCATGCATGTCCAAAATCCCTAAAAGAGAATGGAGAACAAGGGATTGCAGCATAGCCACCTCCGCAGGGGATTATTTATCACTTTCTGTCTCTCTCTCTCTGTCTCTCCGGTGAGCACACATGCCCAATAGCAAAAATTTCTCAAAAAAAAAAAAAAAAGGTCAAGGTGAAATGAGCTGTAAATAGTTAACTGGCCACCATGATCATGGACTGGTCAAGACTTGATGATTAGTGGTGGCTCCCACCAGTATACTACTCTGGCGCTGGGTTACTATTGCTGAGTACATGCTTAGTTGCATAGATTCCATCATGGGCTAAATCTCATCTATCCTTTCTAGCCACTTATCCTACTTCCATAAAAAGGAGGGAAGATTGAGATCATTCCTAATGACCTAAATGCTTTCACATGATTCCAGGGCATTTTTGCTCTGCTATTTGGAATCATTAATTAGGGGACAGCAAACGGTATGGTGGTTAAGGCTCTGGACTACCCCATGGCCAACTGTGATTCAAGTCCTGGACCTAGTGGTTTGAAAATCACACTAGGTGCATGTCCATGTGTGCCCAAAATCCCAAGAGGAGAATAAAGGAGAAGAGATTGTGGCATGTCTATCCCTGGAGATGATTTCTCACATTCCTTCTCTTTTTTTATGGGAAGCATATGTGCCCCATGGCAAAAACATAAAAACAAACAAACAAACATAAAAACCAACCAACCAACCAGTAATTATAAAATTATAGGGTGTTACTTTAGAAGGTAAATTAAATTAAAGCCATTTGTTTATCAAGCACATTACATACGCTCAAATGAAAGCCAAAAAAGAAGATTCATATTACAAAGCGAAATCAGTTACCTAGCCTGTTATATTATTCATTCCATATATTATTTTAGGTAACTTATTCCTTAGCACATTAGACCTATGTTTTTCTGTGTGATTACTATGTTTGAAATCACATTACTATCATTTATTAAAATGATAATGTTTATCAACCAGGTGGCATTTTGATCATTAATTTTTGAATCTACATTCAAAGCATGACCTGGAGAATAAAACCCTTGTATAACTTCTTGCCTAGAAAGTAGGAACTGTTAATGAGTAATGCAGATAGATAAACATTAATTATTATCTCTAATAATTCCAAATTATCCACCTATGGTCTAAAACACATATGTCATATGACACATGTGTTTTAGACCATAGGTGGATAATTTATATAGATATGTCATATATATATAATATATATATGTCATATATATGACATATATGACACATCTTAAACTGAAAGGTCTGTAGGCTGTAGGAAAATATGCAGCTTATTTTTTAAAACTTTGATTCTGAATTTCTACCTTTGATGGTTTGTTGAAAGAAGAGATGGGCTTACACACTGATTTCATCAGGAAGACATGAGAAGGGACACTTTCCCCAGTTACCTGTATCCTGCTAAGTTTATCACTGATTATGGTGGCAGCGTCTCTACCATTGCCCATTTCAAATGGCCATTTCTGGAATCTGGTCCCAGGGCCTGCCTTCACAGATATAAGTGATTCTCTGCCCCTCAGCAGTGAGGCAAAGGAGAGACCAGGAGCTTGCTATATGGTTTTATAGTGCCTTCCCTTTTGTCCACAAACTGGGCACATTCTCCTGGAACTCTGTGATGCTACTATTAATTTATCAATCTTCTGTGAGATAAAGCTGGATGTCAGTATGGGTCTGAATAACTGTCTACCAGCTTTCTTCTCATCTCATTAGCTAGATTATAGAGATTATAATATGTCTACTATTCCACCTGTGGTATGGTGGTGAAGACAGTGGAATCCTACAATGCCAACTATGCAATTCTAGTCCCAGATCCAGCTGCTTGAAAAAAATGTTGAGAGCATGTGTATGCATGCCCAGAATTCTGAGAAGAGAGAGAAAAGAAGGAGAAGGATTGTGGTATGATTGTGCTTCGTGGGCAGTGCCTTTTCACTTTCCTTCTCTCTCTTTCTTTCTCTCTCTGGTAAACACACATACCCTCTGGCAAAAAAAAAAAAAGTATCAATGTTATTAAAAGCACATTTCATAAGGGTATATGGTGGTACTGATATATATTAATCAACCTAATACAAGTTAACATGAGAGGGCCTTTCTGTTTTTAATTTTAAATAAAACATGCTACACAAAAAATTACTTTTACTTTTGGTACAACAAAACTCAAATACTGTGAAATTTAATTGAAAATAATGTTATTCCAAAGAAGAATGGATTTTTACATAAAAACTGATAAAGGTTATTTTCACTTGGCTAGAGTAAATAGTTTTGAATCATAACTATTTGAATTAATCCAAAGAAAGTCACAAGGTATTATTTGAAAGGGTAGTTTTTATTTAGATCCTTTGTATAAGTCTACATATTTTGGCTGACTCTTCATGTTCTGTGTTTCCCAATGATAAATTTTACTTTGCAAAGATTTTTTAAAAATTCCAATCTTACCTAAACATTTTTTTAAAGAATGACTTATTTTAATTTTATTTATTATTATTTCTTAATTTGCTACAGGGTATGTGTGCTCATCAGAGAAAGACAGAGAGAGAGAGAGGTCCAGGACTTGAATAGCAGTTGACCGTGTGGGGGTCCAGTACCTTAACCAACATACCCTATGCCACCTAAAATTTTTTATGAGAGTTTATTTTTATTTTCAGTAATATTTATTGAATGATATTCTGTTCTTTTTAATGTTGTAGTTTTCTAAAAATAAATATGGTCATTTAGGTTTTTTTTTTTACCTATCTATTTATATAATATAATAGAATTCATCCTATGCCATTGAAATCAAGGAAATTTATTTCTGAATTATGTGAGAAAATTAGGACTATAATCTTTAAAAAACTTATTTATTTGGGGAATTGTTAGCATTTTGGAATATTGTATATCATAGCTTTCTGACATCTCTTTGCCATCACATGGGATTAAGATGCTGTCTTGTAATATTTGGTTAGAATCCATGCTGTGGAATGCCTTGGATATAGAACTAAAATGTATAATTCAATTTTTTATTTCAACAGTTAATTCTCTCTCAGCCAGATTATACCTATCACGAATATTGTTATATAATATACATATAACTAATGAGAAACCAGAATTGTATTTTGAAAATACTATTTTTAAAAGCAATATTTTCTCCAAATTGAAATGCAGGCATCCTTTGCAATGAGGCATTAAGCTATCATTGAATCAATGAATTGGTTTCCACTTTAATCACCTTTGATGAAGACCATAATTTTCAAAAGAGTACGTTTTGTTGACAGAGGACCTGAGGTTTCTGGTACTTCCTTTTTAAAAATCTATTGTTTGCATCAAAACTTAAATTTATAGCCATGACCCATCTTTTTTTTTTTTTTTCCTGTGAACATTTAAGAAGAATTTTTAGCTTGTCTTAACTAAGCCATTATAGGAGGAAGTAAATGTAAGACATGATACTTTAATGTGTTGGCTTCAGAGTCTCTGCCTTAATCTCCTGCCAATAATCATCTCCTCCAAGACTGACATGAGAATGAAATATTATGGGTGATTATAAAAGAGTCAGTTTGGCTTGTATTTGTGTCTGTCCACAGACTGTACAATATGTTCAATAGTCACTAGCACAATATGTTAATATACTAAGGTAAAAAAGACAAAATCACTTTGAGATTAACATTATTTTTACTCTTTGTGTATTGCTGTGTTTCTCAGAGAATGTTAAAGATTTTGTTCTCTTATTGACTAATTTTTATTCTTATCATCTGAGTCAGGTACATTTAAAAATTAATCTGGTGAATATTAATATTCTAAGTAAGTGGATTAGCATTTTTATCACACAGTTCTATTTAGAGGAAAAATGAAGGAAGGAATAATTATATTAAATAAAATAATTATCTTTATTGTCTTACAAGTAATTAATACTTTTCCATGAAATTACACAGCTTTATTTTTTCTTAAAAGTAATTTAAATTCCCTGTTTTCTTCTTTCCACAGGATAAAAATCAAGGCTAGGGTTAGATAGAAAGTTTTCTAAAAATGTAATTACTATCTGCATTTTCAAGATACATTTAATTCATAAAGGTACATACGTTTGACAGAGAAATTCTAGAACAGCCCAATTTTATGTATGGCCAATAAAAATAGTAGGACTCATAATTTAAATGGAAAGTTTTAAAATTAAAATCCTTTTTCTTTCTGATAGATGGAAGATAAAAGTAGGTGTTTTGAAGACAGTAGTGAAAACTTTGGAATCAAAATAGAAAGGGAAAAACTTGAATATA